TTCATGATACAGTTCTCCATTGCTGTTTACAATTCGTTCAGTGGGATCAAAACGGGCTCGACAGCGTTCACAAACAGCATTCGCAAGGGCATCTGACATATTACTGAGAAGCAAAAGAGAAAAATGAAAAATACCTCTTCTAAATACAAAGTGTAGCCACTAAATTAAGTTACATTAATAAAAAATAAAACTCCATTTTTATACCTTTATTTTCAAGCACAGTTGAGGTGTCAATTATAAACATGATCAGAAGGTAAATATTTAATGATCCTATATAGAGTAGAGTAGAGTAGAGTAGAGTAGAGTAGAGTAGAGTAGAGTAGAGTAGAGTAGAGTAGAGTAGAGTAGAGTAGAGTAGCTTTATTTGGCCAAGTATGATTAGACATACAAGGAATTTGCCTCTGGTGCAGAACTATACTAGGCTAGTGATTATACACTTCAATTAACAGTTTATCTGACTCTCATTCTTAATGGAAATTAAACTCATAATTGGGCTTTTAATAAATACATAGACTCTTGTACTATAAAGCAATCCACTGAGCTGTATCTGAAGATATAGTCTTCTGGCCCTCCAATGAAAGTAAACTATTTGCTTGTCTCTTATTTTATGCCATCTACAGAATATTATTTATAGCAATCATAATAAATATATTAGGATTTAAATGATGTTTTATCAAAAAGTCACAGAAAAACTAAACAAAGAGGTAGTAGCTATTAGGTATATTCTTTAAATTATTTTTAAAAAGCAGCATAGGTCAAGGTAAAGCTTTTTCAGCACATATTTATGTTCAGCTCCTGGAGACTTCATAGAAACATTTGTAGAAGGTCATGGATGAAATTCAGACAAGTGTTTTACCAGTGGCTTCTAAGCAGAACCTCTTTAATTTCTGAATTCAAACCTAGATAATGGGGCATCCTTATAAGCATCAAAAACCATCCATCTTTACCTTTCTTCTCTATCTGCCAAGTAATCTGTACATTTTTATTAAAATTGCGATAAATCAAAATAACAACTAAACTGTATTCCTTCCAACTGCACTCTAAAGTTAGAGTGCAGCTATTATTTGATGTCCAATGAGACAGATTTTTGGCCCTTTAGAAAGAGTTCAGATCAATTTTTTAAGGCACATATTTCAACCCAATCCACTCTTTGCTACAAGCTCAACAAGAATGTCTCTGCATATGGTGCCTTTAAACGGGTTTTCCGGCAGGTTTGTAACAGGATAACTGACAATCTCTCTGATAAACTGGCTCAAACGGTCTGTGCTTTCAGAGCTTAAAAATTCTGAAGAAAGCCTCAAAAATCTTTAGCAACCCGTGCAGATCTTTTGATATAAACAGGTTGTGGTTATTTTTCTATAACTGTGCACAATTTTGCAGCCTAAGAATTATAGTTTGCACCAAAAAAAGCTTCTTAAAGGTTTTTCTCTTTAATCTAACACAGTGCAGTTACCGTAAGTAATCTTAACGTTCACAAGGCACAAATAACCATTTGAAGGACCAAAGGATTCAGAAAGGATATCGCTTGTACCCAAAATGTAACTGTGACAATGTACTTTTTGCCATCTGAACCTCTAGGAACAATAAACCTCACTTTTGAAATCTGATTTTCTGCTGACAATACCTCATAATTAAAGGTATTTGATCTGCTTTCCTTTAGAATATTTTATATGCTTAAGACATTTTCACAAATTTTTGATGCCTGCCAGAAAACATACAGTATCCTACATTTAATGTTCTGTTAGAATTCTCTCACAGGAACGATGTTGTTGGGCTAAATAAGAGGAAGGAGCATCTTTTTGATCCTGAGTGAAAGATAGAATATAAGCTAATAAATAAATAAATATAGCTAGAATATTGTCATCTCCATTTTTAGCAAAACTAAGTATAATCATTATCTTTCCTATACATTATAAAACAGGCCTTCTACAATTAATGCACTGGGTTAGGTACTCATGTCTCAGTTTTTCTATTGTTTGTGAAGGTGACTACTTGTTAACTTTTCTACATGATTTCTGAATTTATTTTTTACCCTCCCTTTTTATTTTTATAAATAATTTGTTAATTCATAAACTATTTTTCCCCAAATTAATGAATTAAGAATAATGGATCAGAGATCCATTGGAATAAAATATGGTATATTGGAAATATTATGGATATATTCTATATATTCATAATATATTTCTATGCTTTCAACTTTTATGCTAACTGTTCAAAGCAAGAACTGCCAAAATATCAGAAGAGCGTTAATAAATAAAAAAGAGAGTTAGAGATTGTCATGACACAAATGTCATTTCCATATGAGTACTATGTGAAAAACTAAGTGCTAATGGATTATAAGAAACAGAAGTTTAAATTTCCATGAGGGAAAACATGATCTGCATCTTGTCAGAGCCATAATTATGCCGCTTGTTACTTTTGACCTTACAAGCATTTCTGGATTTTCTCATCCATCCCACATAGCCACCTACTTGCAAAAGGCTAAAAATGTCAAATAGTTAAATATTTCTTATATTAGAACAGCAGCAAGCTTTCATAACTGACATTAGGAATTAAAGATAGGAAACATTTTCCAACAAAATGGATACCCACACAACTTTATCAAAAAGTATCTAATCACAGAACCTGCTACACTACAATGTATCAAAAAGTCTCAGAAACAATAAGCCAGGGGTGTCAAACTCGCAACATCACGTGATGTGTCGCGATGTATCGCAACTTTTTTTCCATTGCCGACAATGGAATGGACGTAGTTTTGGCATGATGCATCCAGTCCGCGGGCCGGCAGTTTGACACCCCTGTCTTAAGCAAACCAAAATGACCCAGTAACCCAAAAACAAAAAACATGAGTCATCTACAACATAAAATGCAAGGACAAGCTGGAAAAAAACTAGCAGAGCACATCCACAAACTAACTTTTAGAAGACATGATCAAAAACTCCTTAATTTCACAACATGTGGACTCAATCATAACTTCAACTGGAAAACTATTAGCATCTTAGACTAAGCCAAATTCAAAAATGCTATGCAATTCAGAATTCATCTTGGCATTCAGATAAATCAACCATCAATAGGCACATAGAGATAAACCACATTTACACACCATTCAAAAGAGACAAAAATAGTAAGAAAGAAACAAAAAGACTAGAACCTGTTTATTGACTCATTAGTCCAGCAGTCAACATTCATATAAGCAGGGATCAGTACCAGACAAATAATCAGGAAAATCTGGAAAAGCAATATTCTAGTCAAAGAGGATATTACATCACCATCAAAACTGACAGGGCAACCTATGGGATACAAACAGGCAGCAAACCATACACTGATATTACCTAATTGGGTAATTAAATGTCTACAAGCAAATAGCCAAGCTCAGAGAGTACCAACAACTCCACAAATCAACCGGGCCACATATATTCTCTTCTGTTGAAGTTAAAGACGGCCATCCAACTAACACTATAAAAATGAAAATGCCAGTTAATTAATAGATACTGCTGAGTGTTCTATTTCTAAAGTATCTTGGAATATGGATAAATACATAATAAAAATTAATTAAATCTAAGTGCAGAATATGACCCCATAAACCTTAAGATCTTAAATAATACTAACATGTAAAATATTAAAACAGATGTAATATATCAAACATTCATTTAAAAAATGAGCAATCCTTGCAAATTCTATACCTTTTATTTATCTATTGGAAAAAATATCTAAATATACATTCTTCGTACATAGATACATTAAGGTCTGGGTAATTTGATTCTACCTGCAGCTTTTGCAGCAAATGTAGAGGCAGTCCAATTTCTACTTTTTGAGCTTAAAAAACAAACCCAGTGTTTCTGCACTACAAACCTGACTGCCTTATAGTATATTCCAGGCTACAAGTAATATTTGGCAGAAAGTAGGTTTTTTCAGCTTGATCTGCAATATATACCTTTAATCTATACAGACAAGGTCAAAGGCCAGAAAATGAGGACCTCTGAAAACTGAAATATAGCTGTTTCATATCATTTCGCAGAATATCAGCCCAATTAGCATTTTCCAGCCAAAGGACTACACAACATAGCAGATGTATGAAAAGCAACCAGGCCAACTGTTTAGTTAGCGCATGGGTGTCAAACTTGCGATGTCATGTGACGTGTCACGACGTATCGCGACTTTATTCCCATTGCCGGCAATGGGGTGGGCGCAGTTTTGGCATGACGCATCCGGCCTGTGGGCCAGCAGTTTGACATCCCTGAGTTAGAGGGATGCTGTGGAGAAACTCTGTGTGGGAGAAATGGAGTACTAGAGAGATTCATTGCTTTCTTCCCAATCCTTCAAGCTGGAGGAAGTACTGATTGGCTCAGACTTTTCAGCAACTGTAGCAAGGACAATCACAGATCATCTCAGAGATGATTCCAGGGTCTGGGTAAGATGATTTCACGGTCACTGAAAGAATGAAAATCACTATATAAAAGAACTCTAACTTACCTTGAATGTAACTAGGTTAGGAGAACCTAGTCGTAACCCTTTGAGGATTGGGATAATCTCACAATAGTTTCTTATCATTTACATCTTAATCTGAGCTTTCCTTGAGGCTGCCTTGAAGATGATTGATAGGCTGCAACTGGTTCAGAATTCAGCAAGCTGATCTTTGATGGGAGGAAGTAGGTTTGTTTATGCTATACATATGGCCAGATTGTTACCATGCCAAGAGGTCAATGACCAGAAACCAAGAAAGCTAATGCTCTTCTACGGTACCTAGTAAGCATAGGTTTTTTTTAATTCTTGTATAATGAGATGGATCAGGCAACATTTTATTTCCATAAAGTCATACTGACGTAACATTTTGTTATATGAGCTCCTTTTAGGGATTTTCTATGCATTAGACCAGTAGTGGCGAACCTTTTAGAGACTGAGTGCCCAAACTGCAACCTAAAACCCAGTTATGTATCATCGGGTGCCGGGTGGGCGTGGCCACCGAGTGGGCATGGCCACCAAACTGTCGGGTCGTGCTCGCTCACTCGCTCTCCGCTCCGACTCGTGTTCGCTCTCAAGCCGTCTGCAGCAAATGCTGCTTTTGCAGAAAGTTGCTTCTTTTATAGCCTCTCACCTATTCCCAGACTGCGCATGCGCGGAGAGGAGGAGGGAGCAGCTCGGCCCAGCAATGGCTCGCGTGCCACCAGAGACGGCTCCGCGTGCCATAGGTTCGCCACCATGGTATTAGACTATAGTTCCAATCCATCAAATCCCTCTGGACCAAAGTTATATCAAAATTTAAATTAAACCAAACCAAATTTAAAGAAAAATAGTAAACATAATAGAAATAATAAAAAGATAAAAGTCAAATTAAAATGTAAAACTATTTAAATAATTTAAAAAGATTGAAAACAGGGATGTATAGCTTCCTTGAAACCCTCTTAAGGGAATAGATGCTTGACACCTACATGGACTGCTTTCTATAATTCAGGAGCAATGATAGAAAAGCCTATTCCTAAATCATCACTAAATAATCTGGAGGCATCCAAGACGGATGTCTCTGATTATTTTTAATACTGGGGATTGTATAGCGCAGGGGTCTTCTAACTTGGCCCTTTTATGACTTGTGGACTTCAACTCCCAGAATTCCTCAGCCAGGCACACTGGCTGAGGAATTCTGGGAATTGAAGTCCACAAGTCATAAAAGGGTCAAGTTTGAAGACCCCTGGTATAAAGAAAGATATTATCTCAAACAACTTAAAGTGTTTGGGATTTTAAACTGACAGCTATACTTCGTCTGGAAGACCACCCCATTTCCTTAAGAAAAAAAAAAAAAGAATAGATTTAGGTATCATTAGCATACTGGTAACAACCATTACCCAAACTCCTGATGACCTCACCTAGTGGTTTCACATGTGTTAAAAAAAACCATTAAAATATTCACATTTTAATCAGCATATTACACTTTTGTGCAGTAAACTGCTGTTTGGCCAATGGTTATAAATGCCTCACTATGCATCAAATTATCCATTAAAGAGAAATGAAACATGTTTGTCTGAACTATGCATAAAGAATAATATATTTTTTAAAAACTAAAGAATTTCTAAAGATCATCAATTTTTTATAAGGGAGCTTTTCAAATATTTTAAAGACAGAAAATATGGAAATTTTGCCCTGCTTTAATGGATTAAAATTCCTGTTTCTTTGCAGTATGATCATGCATGCTGAACACAAAAGTTAAATAAAGTATTAATATTGTAAACTTATTTTGGAAGGGAAAAATATAAACTGATTCTTGTTGCTAAGTAAGCTAAGAGATATCTTTTAAGTTTATTTATACAGTGCTAGTTACACTAACCTATTTTAACTTCAAGTGATGAAGGTTTCCATAGCAGGTTTCCTGTTTTTATACAGAACTGATGTTATCAGAGCCAAAGCAGCACTTCCTTCAAGCACAGGGGGGGGATCCAAACCTGTTTTTCCTTACTTTCCCCTTCAAAGTATGTCAGAGCAAACATTCTAAGTATATCAGCAACTGTTAATCTGAGGAGGTATCCAAATAACCTACCCCAATATCCCAGTTGCCCTCTCTTTCTCATCATTCAATAGTGACACTGTGCCACTCAGGCGCTCTTGTCGGCGTTGATAGAGTTTGGAAGATGTTAGTCCCCGAAGTCTCACACCAGCCATGGT